ACGAAAGGACAGAAAAAAGGGGATGAAGAAGAGAAGGAAAACGAAAGGAGAAGAAAAGGCCCTGCAAAATTAGTTGAGGCTAGGCCTGAGGTCCAAGGCAGAGGTGATCCCTCTATTGGGCCTCAGTCTCCACCTCCCAAGCCACTCCACGGCAACAACGAGCAGGGGATCGGGGGTGGGGGGGGGTCTGTTTATTTATTTATCTAAAATTTTCTACTGCATCAACATCTAAGGTTATTAGCGGTGTATTCAATTGTATTTTTGTATCTAAAATATTGGCTATGTTCATTAGTTCCTGGCACCCTTGGCATATAGCACAAGGGGATCCGGACAATAGCCATCCGTGTGTTAATCTTGTGTGCCCTGTTAGGTTTCTTGTTGGCACTGCTACTTTTCTGTTCAGGTTGGAATGTGTGATCCAGATACCGAGATCTTTAATATTTCACAGCTTATTAGATGTTTTATTATTATTATTATTATTATTATTATTATTATTATTATTATTATTATTGGTTTCTCCACTTCTGTCTTAATGTTTCTCTGGTCTGAGTGTAAAAGAGAGAAATGGGTGGGAGGAGTTTAAACTTTCAACAGCTTGTAATGCACTGCGAGAGTCAGAAAAAGAATACTGTATATCAGAAACTGGCGACTTTCACTGCAAAAAGGATGGCATTAACTCTGCATTTAATATCGATGTTGTTAGAGGGAGACATCTTATACTTTTTCCTTGTTTGTTAATTGTAGCATATTTATAGGAGTGTTCTAGAAACTTCTGCTTTATTTCTATGTCATTATTTCTCGTTTGTTAATTGTAGCATATTTATAGGAGTGTTCTAGAAACATAGAAAATTCTAGAAAAAAGTCATTATTTCTTTTCTTTTCTATTGCTATAAAATCCACTTTTACCTCATTTTTCTATGGAGGGATTTGAGGATTACCAACTGGTAGGAACCTACTTAGATTTAAGTTGAGGTGCCTTATAGAATTTCTCATTCTCCCACCAAAAAAGAAGATTCAGGGTTTATCTGAAATCTATTTTGATCGATAAGGTTCATGTAGTTACAGTGAAAATCTAAGAGTGGTTCCCTAATTTCTGCCTATAAAGATAATACTGGTGATGAACAAAAAAAAACAGGACATATTTTCAGTGCTTCATTGTGGATAGGGTTTAGTAACTGGAAAATGTTGGGAGAAGCTGAAGCATAAGCTTCACATTCATAGTCCAGCTTACTTCTTATCAGTGTTTGATAAAGTCTAAGAAGTGTTGTACGGTCAGCACCCCAAGACAGGCGAGATAGTACACGTAAAATACCAAGTGAGCTACTTGATGTGTGATAGCCATGTTAACCTTGGGTCAAATGTTACTCTTTAAGATTTTTTCTTGGTTGACAAATGTAATCAAGCTCATTCTTAAGGAAAGGTGAGGATTGAAGCTGCTGGTCCTTATATGAAAATGCATGGTTATGGTCTTGTTTGGGTGAAATTAAAACCATGAGATGTGGTCCACTGTGATATCTGATTTACTGTAGTCTGTAATAGTTTTGTGCATCCAGTAACCTACTTCAAGAGCAACATAATTTAGACATAGAGACTTCATGAGACATCTCTTTTACAATGTCATTTATGGCATTTGCAAAGGACACTTCCCTGTGGGACTCCTTTCTTCTGACTTTCTTGGTTGAAGAATGGTATCCTGTCTGTACTCTAAATTTTCTGTCACTTGAGAAATTCCTTAAGATGGGGTGGGCTCCTGTTAAACCAATAGAATGTAGCTTCATAATTATGCCAAGCTTCCATGTTGCATCATATGCCTTTTCCTAGTCAAAGAAAACTGCCAAGAGATGGTGTCCTTGTGTGAAGGCATTCCTTATGTCTATTTCCAGTGAAACAAGGGCATCTGTTGTTGATCTCATTTTTCAAATTCCAAACTGAAATTGCTTGTAACTTGTTTTTTTCTAAATACCATAACAAGTGAAAATTTACCCAGTAATTTACGAAAACAGTTTGTCAGAGAGATAGGTCTGTAGTTTTCTGGTTTGGTTGGGTCTTTTTCAGGCTTAGATGTTGGAATTATTATTGCTTTTTTCCAGGAAATTGACATTAACCTTCCTGAAATGTTCTGTTAAAGAATTTTAGCAGAAAGTCTATGGAACATTCTGATAGGTATATCATTTGATGATATATTATCATTACCTAAAGCAGTCTTATGACAAAGTTTGAGAGCATTTTTCATTTCCTTCCTAGAGAATGGTGCATTATGTCAATTTCACCAATTTGGGGTCAAATGAGGGTGGCTTCCTTTATTGTTCTATCGTGAGACAGGCAAATCTCTCAGAATGACTAGCCCCAGAGGGATTTCAGCCATAGATTTGGAAAGTATATTGGCAACATCATCCTTATTAGATACAAGCGATTCGTCAGTCTGCAGGGTTATTAATGATATTGGCATGGATTTCCCAGCAATCCTATAAATTCTTTTCCACACTAATGATAGTGACATGGATGCATTGATGGTGGATACCAATTGCCTCCAGGATATTCACCTAGCCTCTTTCAGCACCTGTCTCACTTTTGCTCGCCGTTTATGATATACAAGTTGTATCCCTACTGAACCTTGTTCCCTTAACATTTATATTTTCTCTGCTTTTGAACCACCAAAGTTCTGATCTTCAAATGAAAGACAAGGTTCAGTAGTCTGGATTTGAAAAGTTGAGTTTGTTTCCAGTTCAATGATCACTGGGCTTTTAATTTCTAGGGGAGACCCCACTCCCTGGGTGGGGGAAGAAAAAGGAATATCCTTAAGATGTACTATGGAGTTTCATCCAAACAGTTCACCACCCAGTCCAACAAGGGGAGGGCATATCATCCCCTCAGGGCATCCTCCATGGCTACTGCTGGGATATATGCAAGATTTCCAGCCCTTTCAGGGTCTTCAGACTATTGAGATCAGACCTGGCACTGAATATGCAAACTTAGCCTAAAATTTTCCCCTTACTCAGACACATCAGGTACTCGTGTTTATTTGGGCGATCTGGGTTGCCATCCAATATCAACCACTGGTGTCCTTGAGTCTCTTTGTTGCCTCCTCTACAGGGTCCTTGATGCTTGGGAGGCCCTGGCAGGAACTAAAGTTCCAGCTAACATTGCTCCCTGTATCATTGGGGTATTTACTTATTGAAAATATTCTGCTGCAATGTATTCAAAATATGGTGATAATGTGAGGCTTAAGGGCAAAGCCCCCAAGAAAGAAAGTGCTATATGATATGAAAAGTCATATGGTGCTATGGTAAAGTAGAATAACAAAAGGGGTTAGGAATGAGTTAATGATTAGGGGAAAGTTACAGGTTGAACAGTACTAGAGGGTAGAATGGTAGTGAAAAGGGTAGAGAGGGGGAGCTGATGGGGTATAGTATAATGTAAAAGTTGTTAGAAGAGGAAGGAGTTAAGGGAGTAGGAAGCATTAGGATAAAAGTACTGTGGCGAAAACGCCAAAAATGAGTTTAACGGAAGGAGGAAAGGAGGCGGCAAGGGCTGAGGACCAAGAGAGGGGTGATCCCCTTCTTGACTCACTTAAGGGGGCAGGAGATAAGGGCCTACAATTAACCTAAGGAATGCTGTGCCCCTGGTTTCATGAAGCCATTCAGGACCAACTCAAACCCCAGTCTTTCATCTTTTCAACACAGCCCTTACATATTAGGAAATGGATAGAAGGGATTGAAGTAGTGAAAGAAAAGGAAAGGAGAAGAAAAGATCATGCAAAATTGGCCGAGTTAAATGTGGCCCAAGGTAGGAGCAATCCCTAACATTGGGCCTTACTCCTTGTCTTCTGTGACTCCCCACGATAACAATGGGCATGGATGTAGGTTGACAAATAATCATAAGCAGCAGCATTTGTAGGGAAGACGTAAAATCATGAGGTAAACTTATAGTGTACTGTATATGTGCTACAAATGTTTCAAGTGTGATAAAAGGGATTTTTACTTTAACATTCTTTAGAGATAGGACTGAACATATTCATAAGGTTTGAATATTGAAGAAAGACAAGATTTATATCAAATTATTTATGTTAAAGAATCTGACGATACAATTACTAATTACTAATCACAAAATGTGGCCTTTGATATGTAGTCAACTTTCCAATCAATTTAAAGCCATATCAGATAACACTATACATCATAAGGCCCAAGCTAAGAGGCAATTAAAAGAAAACTAAAATAAAATTAAGAACTTCGATAAATAACAAACACCTTACAAATTATCAACACTTTAATCTCCGGACAACATACAGGAGAATAATACATTTTATGGGACAAAGGATAGGAGTACTAGTCTTAAAACTTGTAATCCTTAGTAATAATAATCCATTTATTCCAGGTTATGCAATTATGCAATGGCTCACTCTATACAATATTGCAACAAAAATTCCTATAAAGTGAAGGTGAAGATCATGCTGATTAAACTTTTGCCACAGGGGAAATAATCCATAATGAATCTTTGTGCAACTTTAAACAATTAAAATAAAAAGAAGAATAGCAAGATACATTCCTTGTACTCTCTCATATTTTTTTATTTTATAAACTAGTATTGTACGGGTGTATAGAAAGCATGCATTAAGTTATTTTTAGAAAAGATTTTTTTTTTTTTCTTTATTAATGCAAAACTTGTACATCATTCTACAAGTGCTATAAAATATATAGATAAACACACACACACACCATATTACTGAAACTAACATAGAGCCTTTGCTCCCTGTGGGTAAAAAATTGGCTAATTTCTAATAAGGGCAACCTTTGAGCACAAAAAAAACAAAAATTCCTATAAAGTGAAGGTGAAGATCATGCTGATTAAACTTTTGCCACAGGGGAAATAATCCATAATGAATCTTTGTGCAACTTTAAACAATTAAAATAAAAAGAAGAATAGCAAGATACATTCCTTGTACTCTCTCATATTTTTTTATTTTATAAACTAGTATTGTACGGGTGTATAGAAAGCATGCATTAAGTTATTTTTAGAAAAGATTTTTTTTTTTTTTCTTTATTAATGCAAAACTTGTACATCATTCTACAAGTGCTATAAAATATATAGATAAACACACACACACACCATATTACTGAAACTAACATAGAGCCTTTGCTCCCTGTGGGTAAAAAATTGGCTAATTTCTAATAAGGGCAACCTTTGAGCACAAAAAAACAAAAAAATAAAAATAAAATCCATTTCCCACATCCTGGTATCCGGTCCCTCAAATTTAACTTTTCTATACAAGGTCTATCATTAACATCAGTAACTGGTTTTGAAAGATGTTAAGCACAATTTGAATAAGGATGCAACTGAATAAAACAAACAAGATATATATAAAGTGAGGGGAAAAAATGTCAGTATATTTTTCATTCATGTCCAACAGATATTATCTGGCTAAGAAAGAAATAAAATGAGTTGGAGATCATAACAAACAAATGTGTATAAAACAGCTATATAACCTAATTGGGAAGAGAAAATTAGAATATTGCTAGAACAACAAAACGTTTCCATTGTGACAATCTATTAATGCTTAGAATGGCACCACAAATGGCATCACTGATGTCAGTGGCTTATATGAATCCATTTCATGGAAAACAAGAGAACAAAAGAGGCAATTTCTTTTCCTTTATTTAATAAAAACCTTCAAATGCCTTTTGTTTTCAGACTATCCTTTTGTGATGCTGACCTATAATAAAGTTGAGTATGAACTTATAACAAGTGAGCTAAAAAATAATTAGTTGACTATAAGAATTCAAAAGATGGAGGAAACATTAGCACCCAATCCTGGTCTAACTTATAAGTGCTCCGCTGCACTAAACTAAAACAAACCGCTTCTCTAGAACTCTTTAATATAGCACTATTCATTTCCCATTAAAACAATAATTCAAGTAAAGATGTACACAATTTTAAATAGAGGTTACAGCAACTTTCTGCACTAAACCTGGCAAACAAGAGCAGCCAATTAGTTTCTTTTTTCCCTTTCCTCTTTTTTATCCATAAAAAAATATCCAGGTCTGTTCATGGGATTGTGGGCAGGGGGTTTCGGCAGGATGCATACATGGTCATGGTTTGGATGGTATCAGGTACCAGAGATCTTTAGGATTGAGCAGGCGGGACCTCCTCTTGGGTTGGTACAGGTTCCTCCACCTTAGCTGCCTCTTCCTCTCCTACAGCAGCTTCCAGAGCTTGTCTAGCCAACTGTTCAATAGGCTTGAAAGGACTCTCCGTGGGGTTGTTCTCAAGATACTGCAAATATTGGTGATTAGTTATGATGATAATGATATACCATTACAATTATTACACCAATGCTGCCCGGAAAACATAGTGTTCCCTATAGTATTGTTTTGTGAGATGTCTCTATATAATGACAATCCTGTTATTATTTCCTTAGGCATAATTATTATTGTGTTATTGACATTGCAAATGGCAATATATAAGAAACATTTCTGAAAATCAAGGAACACAGTTGAGACAGATAGTACTGGTAATTGGCTCATTGGTGACTAAATATTAGTGAAACCAGCTATATATGAAGACAATTAATAAACTCACAGTGGTCATAGCCTATACTTAAATACCATTCCTAGCAGCATCAGTTTAAGAAAACACCTTGAATTTCACATTATCAACTATGGCATGTTCTTTTCTCAGCATATCCAGGTTTAACTTATAATGGAACAAAAAAAAAAAAAAAAAAAAAAAAAAAAAAAAAAAAAAAAAAAAAAAAAAAATACAACCGATAAATAAAAAGCGTCTTACCTGGTATCCAAACAGAAGACCGACAAGAATGAGGGCTAAGAAGATCAACTTGACTAACAACCGAACTGTCGCAGCCAACTTGCCGCCACCACTGGGTTCCTCTTCCACTGATTTTGCAACACTTTCTCGTACAAGCCCACTGGATGGGGGGAAAAAAAGGCAAATTTATCCATCCGAGTCTCTATTTTGTTTGTCTACTTATTAATGTCCTTCATTCTGAGATTATAAAAAGAGAGGACAGGATGAAGAAAGAAAGAGACAGAGAAAGCAAAAAAGATCATCCATCCATCTATATCATCCATCTACAGCAATATCCATATGCTATCAACAAATCTTTATTTACGGGGGTTGGGAGTTTTTCAATTCATTGCTCCAAGACCCTTACCTTCTTCCGTTGTTGACAATCTTCCGTGATGTGTAGCTTTCAGACGCCGTGGTAGTGGAATGGACAGTGCGGAGAGAGCGTCGTGGAGAAGGAGTGTGCAGTTCGGGGTCAAACACCAAGTCGGTTCTCTCTGACTCTGGTGACAATCAACAAGTACAAAGATAAACATACTGGAAGAATGCTTTTGGGAGTCAATTTGATTTTGATTTGTAAAATTCAAGTAAAATCTATATCATAATTATTTTTTTTGTCATCAATTAATATCTACTGTATGATCCCATTTACACTCGATATCAAAGATAATTAGCATATGAAAAACTCACCTGTGCTGATAATGGTTCGTTTGCGGATCTCCGGCTGCACTGGAAAGCTGACTGGTACTGACTGTTGTGATGTGGATGGCACGCTCTTCTGTGGTTCTTCTACAACTGTGAAAAAGAAAGGAAATTATTTTCTAGTATATTGTATATATAATGTCATTAACTACATAGTTACTGGTCTCATAACCTATTCTGTTATACATTCTGCATATATTTTTTTTCTTGATTAATAATTGCCATAACAATCTAGGCTGAAGAGATAGATGGTAAGTATATACCTGCTGTCAAGCATGTTCTACATGACAAATACACATTTTCTGGTGCATAAAGCACCTGAAAATCCTGTAACAAAACCTTGCTTAAGCTAAAACTTGAGTAATTAGGGCTTTTTTGAGGGGAGTTGGGCCACCTGGAGGATTTCTGTTTCTTGGAGATTACTTCTCACTAGAAATACAATAGAAAAAAATGCTTCATACTGATACCAGAGGGGCTGATGGCCCAGTATTCTTTAAGGATGAGTAAGAATTAGAGATCTCCCTGACCCACCAGCTTCTCAAAGCCAGTACTCTAGCTTAACCCCTTGGTGCCGGGTGACGCTGATCGGCGTGCAAACAAACTGCTTGAAAGCTGGCGTGCAGCCAAACGCCGCCGCGGCGCACCAAAGCGCGGCGAGCCAGTGCTTTGGGCTGATGTCCCCTACTCACGCGCTCAAAGTCAGCACGCTGCCTTTGTTTGCTAGAGCGTAGTTTTTTTTTTTTTGTTTTGTTTTGTTTTGTACACCCGGCGTCATTGGGTTAAGATAGGAGGTTGCCTTGAACACCCAAGACCTAACCAGCATCTACCTGACTGATATAATTAGAAACTTTAATGAAAATAAGCAAGTGTCATTATACACTGCACACCATCTGGAAATTAACATCCTTTACAAAGATTGATTCCTTGTCTTCTAAATTCATGTTTCACCTTGACTTGGTATATGCTAATGAAACCCAGGCTATCTTTCAAAAGCCATTAATTATTATATTTCACTTTTACTTATTTATTTGATCTATCTATTTTTTTTTTTATTGATATCTGTCTCTTCATGAAACAGAGATTTTCAAATAGCTAACAGAAATGTGAATGTATCCTTTATTTTTCCTCCACATATCAAAAATTTTAACTCCCAGTTAAGTAGAATCACAAATTATGCATCACCTTTTATTAACTGCTGTTTGTTTAGCATTACAAGTTTCCTCAATTTAAATAAGGGAAAACATATGACCACTAAGATAATTAATTAAATGCCCCACTTCATCCTCATAAATTATACTACACAAAAATTTCTACCATTCAAGTAACATACCTTCCTCCTCACTGTCTGAGTATTCTTCTTGATCTACGTCGCCATTGTACGTTGCTGTTTCTTCCACTGAACCTCCCATCAGTACAACCAATTTTTTCTGATAGACTTTGCGTGTTGTGTCTGGAATAAATGAAAACGGAGTGATACAGTTGAAATTTCAAAGGACTTGAAACTTTAGAAAAAATATATTGGTATCTCTTAGTTTTTGGGGAAGAAGAAGAAGAACAAGAACCACAACAACAAACACAATAACACGAAAGGCAATGATCTATGAATATAAAGATATTTACACGCACATATACTGTACAGTTAATGTTATATATAATTTCTCTAGCTTCCATACATTTCTCATTCCCATTCTAATACAGAAACATTAAGATTCCTAGTTTAATAATTTAGTTACTGAACATTTTTAAGTGGTACAATTAGATGGAAAAATTGTTAATCTGTTTCAAATGTTCTAGAGCTCCCGGCATCATACGAAGTTATGATGCCAAGTCTATTTACATATTTATTGAAAGTTGTCTACTGCTCCAACATTGAAGGACATTAGCGGAGAATTTATTTATATTTTTGAGTCTAATTAATCAAAACCTTAAAAGTTATACATATTCTATGTATTTTTTAATAAAATTACAATTATATTTCATTATATATATTAGTTTCTATCAGGAAGTTTAACAGATTATGAACAGAATCATATTCATTTCCTAAGATATTTTTTTTAAGTAAGTAAAGTCTTATTAAAATATCTATTCAGTGGTTCCTCATAGATATTATGGGTTATATTTAGAGGCTCGTGGCACTCTTGGCAGAAAGCACAAGGGGACCCAGTTATTATCCATCCGTGGATTTATCTTGTGTGCCCTATTCTAATTTTTGTTAGCACTAATACTACTTCTCTATTCACAATGGAGCTTGTGATCTAGACATGACAGCTTATTATTACTGCCAATTTTCAAAGTAATCTTTTTGACCACAAAAAGTATGGCATATAATTCTGCTGCAAATACTGTAGCTGTTCTCTTCATTTGCTTTATTTCTATATCAGTTTTTCTTTTCTTTCTATTACTATGAAATCCACCTTTACTGCATTTGTCCAGGTAGGACCCTACTTTGATTTTTAAGACGAGGTGTGCTAAAAGATCTCTCATTCTCCCACCAAAAGTCTGCCCTTGGGTCTAACAACTTTCTATGTCAGAGATTCAGGGTTCTTTGTACTCTATTGTGATAAATGAGGCTCATATAAACACAGGCAAAGTCTAAGGGTAGTTCTCCACTTTCCACATATAAAAACAATACTGGTGATGAACAGAAAGCATAGGTACATATTCTTAGGGCTTCACTGTGGATAGGGTTTGGTAGCTAGAGAACATTGGGGAAGCTGAAGCATAAGTTTTACATCAATAGAGCTTAAGTGTTGTACTGTCAGCACCCCAGAACAGATGAGAGAGTACATATAACATAACTAGTGCTTTGGTAGCCTTCATCTTGAGTGGCTTGATGTATCTTACCCATGTTAACCTTGGGTCAAGTGTAACTCCTAAGATTTTTATTTGGTTGACAATTGTAATTAAGCTGGTTCTTTTATAAAAATGCATGGCTACTGTCTTTTGGAAGAAATTAAAACCATGCGATGTGGTCAATTGTGATACCTGATTTATAGCAGTCTGTAGGCAGTTTTATACATTCAATATGCTAACTCAGGCGCAGTACAATACAAAGTCATCCACATATAGACTGCATGAGACATCTCTTGACACAGATTTTACGTCATTTATGGCAACTGCAAACAGTTACATTTGGGACACTTCCCTGAGGGATCCTTCCTTCTGATTTTCATAGATGAGGGATAGTTTCTTATCCGTACTCTAAATTTCCTGTTATTTAAGAAATTCTTTAAGAAGATAGGCAGGGTGGAGGCAAGTATACTGATGCTATGGAGTACTGCCTGGTCAAAATCTACTCTTGCTGCCTTCATCTGCAAAGTGGTTTGCAGCAGGAGGGCGATATCCTACCTTACCATTAACCCCTCACTGTCGGTGTCAGAAATCTCTCAGTGTCACTGACTCCAGTGACTTCTGACAACTTTCCTGCTGTTTGGCCCAGGAGTCTGCTATATTTACCAGAAATTTCCGCTCTTCTCTGAGAGCTTTTCTTTATCAAGAGAGGAATTGCATTGACTTGTCAACTAATCCATCAGTTCCCTTCTTTCTGATAAGTTTTACCTTGATCTGCCAAAGTTTCTTTGGAGTATTTCTTAAGTTCCTTATTGAAGATCAGTCCCTTAACCAAATTCATATAATGATTTGGATCGACTTTTATCTCTACTCCATTTCACAAACAAAATTTAGGTATTATAACAGATGAGAATACATACAATACTTAAATACAAAAAGACACGCATTCAGAGTCAATGGTTTACATATAGAGTGATAAAACACAATTTTCCATCTTCATCTTGATAATTCCCCTTCCAGGCAAACATAATCACATACAGTACACATGACATATATCTAAGGCTTCTAAGGCTTTTACATTCCTCAATATTTCCTTACTATTTTCCAATTTCCCCATTTATCTTTGCTATATCAAGGAGTATATTGTTATCTCTTCCCATCTGCCATTTTGGACCCACTTCCTGGCATATAACTGTTTTTACACATACATGGCATCGCTTGTACTAACTAAGCAATGAGCAATGATTAGCATCCTCCTCTCTCTTTTTCTGTTCCTTGGTTTCTTTGTCCATGACTTTGCCAGTCCCAACTCCACCCCCAAATATTGCCATACTTTGCATTAGTGGCTGCAGGGCCTGAGTAACTGCAATTTTTTCCTTGCCAGAAAAGTTTGCATCAGCCTATGCAATTATAGCAGCAGGGTGTAATCCTTTCCCCCTTTTCAATTTCTGCTTGGTAGATTCTGGAATCATGCTCTTATCACAGAACCTACATCAAGCATCCTGCTGACAGGTCCATGACTTATGGCCCTATCAGAAGCACTTCAGGCACATGAGGGTGGCTCCATGTACGGAGCCACCCTCCAGTAGCCCGCTTCAGAAATAAATTCTCTCTCTGGCACTTCTCTTTTTCATGAAGGCAATGAGCTGATTTCACTCCTCACCTTCTTCACCCAAACAGGTTTTATCGTCCTGCAGACAGCCTGGGTTCAGTATCATTGGATACTGAATGATAATACCTTTTGTTAGTTTTTTGCTTGGAAGTCATCACTGTCCCCTTGTATCCCTTAGTCATCAGGATCAGCTCCACCTTGTCTGCCTTCACTGTGAGATACAGCTTCCCTCTGCCTTCCTTTAACAGTGCTTTGAAACCATGTTTGTCACAACCTAGTTGTATGGACCACTTAGTTTGCCATGAAACTCGTGATGTAGTCCTATGGGCATAGCAGTCTTTTCCTGCCATTCACATTCACAACATTCTGGGTTCCTGTTACCTTGTCGCTTTCTATCTCATCATTCTTTCCCTTCTCCCACTAGCATCCATTTTCACTTTTACAAATGTCCACACTCCCTTCACTTCTTTCCCTCTAATGGGATCCCCTTTCAGCATGTCTGTTTAGCGAAGATAGAATTTCATCCTCCATTTCCAAATCAGAAAGCGATGTTCCAGATATAGCAATACTGACCACATTGACACCTGGGGAGGTAGTGACCCGAGACCAGCTGTCTCCAGAAATCCTCCTTGCAGGGACCTTGGTCTTTTGGGATCACAATAGTTATATTTAGTAAGTCAGAACAAGTACTGGAGGCCTATGCACCTCACCTGCTCCCTATTCGAAGACTAAGTGGGGGGCAGAGAGAAAGGAGGAGAGAGAGAAGGAAGGAGGGAGGGAGGGAGGGAGGGAGGGAGGGGAGAGAGAGAGAGGGAGAGAGAGAGAGAGAGAGAGGGGAGAGAGAGAGAGAGAGAGAGAGAGGGGGAGAGAGAGAGAGAGAGAGAGAGAGAGAGAGAGAGAGAGAGAGAGAGAGAGAGAGAGAGAGAGAGAGAGAGAGAGAGAGAAACAAGCAGTTTAGCTTCATGGCACTTGATTTCACACAGGTCTTTAAACACATCCACTCCTCTCCCTCCCACCTACTATTCTTCAACCATCATTCCCAACAAAATACCTAAAACACTTACCAACATAATTAACTTAAGACAACAGAGGAATGCTCATCCACTTTCATATCTTACCAACAATAGGTCCAACACTGGCCCCATATTCTTGGAGTCGCCTGTATAGTTCGTCATCATTGAGCCTAGACACATCTATTCCATCAACGATAAAACTTGCTTCTGAGGATGCCTGTAAAGGAAGGGAAGAATGATATACTGTGGTGTGAATATAGAATCTGCCATGCGCTAAGAAAAATGGGTAACACAAGTACAATAATAGAAGCTATTTCATAATACATGTACAATACATATTTCAGTAATATGACATTAAATATACTATGGTCCTATGTAAAAAAAACTCAGCCGCATTATATCCTTTTTTCCTCTCCATTATATAATACCATGCTCAAAACAGAATAAATGAATATGAAACAAACTAGCACAAGTGTGGATAGAGATGCAGTCCCAGACAGAATAATGTGGATGCTGAAGAGTAAAATGACTGTAACACTGAACTCAGGCTGTAATTATGTATATCTACATGAATATATGAATGTAAATATGCATACATACGCATAGATAATACGGTGTGTGTGTGTGTGTGTGTGTGTGTGTGTGTGTGTGTGTGTGTGTGTGTGTGTGTGTGTGTGTGTGTGTGTGTGTGTGTGTGTGTGTACTGTGTATCATATCGGTATTATATCCCCATGTGGAGGCTTGAAGTGGCCACGTGGTGCCCATGCGGCCTACCCAAGTAGGCATGCCCATAATGGCAGGGCGGTCCTACTCGCCCCCCCAAGCCAGCGTCTCGGATACTTAAGGCCGCGTTTCGACTGGTCAGACAGAGTGTGCCTGCTGCTGGCTGACCCAAGGTCGGCAGCCTGGCCAGCTCAGGTCAGGGCTGACCGTCCCCTCCCAGCTGACCGCGTGATACCCAAGGGTCATACTTGTGTTAACATCTCATGTGCTTGCTCTTATAGAAGAGTTTCAAGCCATTAAGCTTTTACCATTTCCTGTCACCAATGTTTAGAGGTCCCTTTATATAACCCTTACAGTGTGTGTGTGTGTGTGTGTGTGTGTGTGTGTGTGTGTGTGTGTGTGTGTGTGTGTGTGTGTGTGTGTGTGTGTGCACGTGTGTGTGTGCACGTGTGTGTGTGCACGTGTGTGTGCGCATGTGCTTGTATATATGTATATATACATATACAAATTTACACATACACACATATATATACATATATACGTGTGTGTATAGATGTGTATATGTATATGTACACAAATACAAACACATATATACACTTAAAATATATATATATGTATGTAAACAAACTTATGTATATATACATATACACACACATACACATATAAGTATATATATATATACATGTATATACTTATTAAGTATATATATACACACACACACATATATATATATATATATATATATATATATATATATATATATATATATATATATATATATATATATATATTATCTGTATATACACGTGTGTGTGTGTCTAGATTAAAGAATTACACTTAAGTATAGATCACTGCAAAATATTTTAAAGGAAAAGATATATTTCTATTCCTTATGGTGCAATCCACAGCATGAATGTGAATAAAATAATACCATCATTTTAGTGGACCTGTAATAAGCATTTATACATGTTACTGCGACAATTTTCTTAAGCAGTGCTCTATCAAGTAATATATTAAATGCATAACTCATCAATGTGATATCTCAAATAGTTTTGTATTACTACACACTGTGAAATATACCAAAAGATCTGTGGGTTAGGGAGAAACGATGATTGAAAATGGAGTCCAAGGGAAGAGCCCCTGTCTAGAATAAGGGTCTTTTTCATGCGGTGATGTTTGTATCAGTTCAATTTAGGATAGGGTTCAGTCATTCGTTCACTTGAGTTCAGGACTTTCTCTCTAACAGGGGCAGTTATAAATGAGAATGCATAACTTCGTCATGCTAGAAATACAACCTACATGTTTCTACTAACACTTAAAGGAAATATATACGGCTTAATCATAATACATAATTTACAATGTTTTATGTGTAATGTTATTCACACTCCTCTTTTCACCTTTTCCTCTATTTTTTACAAATGCCTTAAAAGAAATAAGAAATAATGTTAAAAGTTTACAACAGGACTACATCTGTCAGGCGAAGCCCCAACTCTCACTAATGGACACACAAACCCCATCCTGAACATACAAGCCACCACAAAGATTGCCGTATGAACGAAAAACCTTCCTAACCTAGGAGTTTTGCCCTTATTCCCCCTATCAATTCCCATATTTAGATTAATCTTCATGGTATGGGTGTGGATGCATTAAAGGGCAACTTGAAGAGGATATTCTTGTGCAGAACAAAAGATGTAGTCTTTGGTATAAGAAATAATCTGCTTACATGAATGGTATCTCTACAAATAAAGGAAAATGATCGTAGGTGAAGACAATGTCTGCCAAGGAGTGTTTGGGGCAGAGCCCCCACTATCAACCCTCCCCTTGGGCATTGCCTGAAGGGCACACCAAGTCAAGGCAATTTAGATTGTCAAAGAAAGTTTATGTGGAGTTAGGGACTTAATCTCTGGCATCTGCACCATAAAGAATCACCCCATATTTCAGTAACCAGTGTATACTTGAACTCTATCACATGTAACTTAGAAAAATGTTTATTAAGGGTATACCATGCAAGTACATATATATAATATTCTTAAAGATATAGCATGTGTTGAATTCCTAATATTTAATTGAAATAATTGCAATTAGTGTCAATGTCTTTCCTAAAAACATCAAGAGTGTAGTTCTCTATCAATTTTTTTTTTTTTTTTTTTGTTTTTTTTTATAAGCATTTCCAGTATGAGGAAACTCAGACCAAGTCCTGAACTGCACATCACAAAATCTATTTATCAATATATGTTGCCACAACTGGGTGGATCCAACTGGGTCTTCAGCTTGGTATGCATGGAAAGAGCACTGAAACTCAGGAGTGCCAAGTGGACTTACTAATCTTTCTTTTATTTGTGGAGTTGTTGTTTGTGTTTGCAGTCTATTTCTTTAACCAACAATTGTATCATTTAGTTTTCTAAAAGAAAATCATCTATAATTTGCAGTAGCTTTGCAAGACCATACTGTAAAAATGAACTTTTTTTTCTAAAATAACATAATGACTTCTAAAAACCTGCATTTAAATAATAATAATAATAAAAATAAAATTGATGTTCACCATTAACTTTGATGCATTTGGGAGTATAACTTGTACCAGCAAAATCCCTAAGTCAATAGTAACAACTGAAGTACATCAACCCAGCGAACAACATACATTTTTTCAAAATTGGTTTGGTATTTAATAACGAGAGCTATGCACCTTCCCGAGACAAAGTCCCAAAACCAGATTTGGGTATCATGTGAACCCAAAAATCCAAACCTAATCTATCCGACCTTTGATTTATTCCCTATACAGGGGAAAAGGGGGGAAAACCCCTTTACCCCTTTTAATTAGTACCTTGTGCCAACTGCCGCAATTTTGATATACAAAGTGGTATTTATGACAGAGAGCAACATCCCTCCAAATACAAAGTCCCAAACCATGCGGACCTAAAATCCAAACCTAACCTTTTCTACCTTCTGTTTATTCCCTTGAAAAGTCCCCCAGTCCTCCCACCCATTTATTAGCACTTATAGAAAACAAACATAAACCCCTGTTGTTGACTTAGTCTGTGAGCTGTGACATGTAGCGGATATATCTGCTTTTCTCGGTAAATATGAGGCCACTGCAGCTGTACCCATGGTGTTTCTTAGTCTATTTTTTATGCTCTATAAGATGGCAGTGTCCATTTCCATCTATCTCCAAGCATGGCTCTCAGTAACATTAACCTATAAAATATTTGTGACACATTTACAGATACAGATGAGCTGCAGTGAGGATGAATTATAGAAAATACAACACTTAGAACTGGCTGTGTGATTGTATTGTGGACTTAGTTTCTGAGCTGTGATATGCAGTGGATATTTTTGTCATTTCATGTTTAATATGAAGCCACAGCAGCTGCACCCATTTTGTTTACAACTATTTCTTATGCAGTGTCCATTTCCCTCTATCTCTGTGCATTGCTCTCATTAATATGAGCCATTAGTTCTACAAATACACAAAATTTACTTGAACAAGCATGTCCAAATCTGCAAAATAATTTCTAAATATTGGATCTAATGTAATATAGATAATTACTGGTTATCTACTGTTCACTAAAAGATTCCTTAAACAGATGTAAAAGATCCAAGGACTCAAAGTCGATCTAGGCTAACCACCACAAAAAAAGAAAAAAAAACATGGCATTTCATTGCTCCTCCTTAATGCAAATCCCTTCTCAAAGCATGTGCAATAATTACTAATTTCAAACTCTTCAAGTTATTTAAATGTCAATGCCCAACAAAAAACGAATAAGTAAATTGCAAGTTGTGTTGCTCTGTGCATTATTTGGACACCTGTCACCACTTTCCACCCTTATAAGGTCAAAGAGCATAATTAAACACAAGCAACCACTTGAACCGCAACCGCAGTCGGGACAGAGCCATCCTTTAAGCAAAATCAATGGAGAAAATCGCAAAAACACAAGATTAAGGAGTGGCCATAAGGGAATGAGTCGACCAACGGCCCCATGCCCTCCACTCCATTCAAACTTTGAAAACTGCAAAACGGGGGGAAAAAAGCGCATCCTTCAAGCAACTGCCAACCCAAACGCATTTCCTCACAGCCTTTCTCCCTTCCCCCAACGCCTCGCAAACATACCATCTCAGCTGTTGTTTTTTTCACCGGAACACTGGAATATAAAAAGGGCAAGAAAGGGGAACGACGTGCAGAGCAGCGGCCCGTCCAGGCGTGTGTCACAGACCGGACTGAAGGTTCCTCGGGCGGGAAGACCTAGGTATTCCCGCGCGAACCCCTCTGCTGGGCTCTTTTCAAAAGAGTTTTCTTCTACTGTTGGTTATACTGTTTGGTGAGTGGGGGATCTCGAGGCTCGTATTTGCGGGGTTTAAAGGGGGGGATTGGGGGTTGTGTGGGTGTTCACAGGAGGGTGGCTGGTGCACAGAGGGCGAGGAACTGACCTTGTCAACTATCGGGAGGGAATTGGGGATGTCTTCTTCGTCAGATGAGAAATCCCCTTTAGATTGCTGTACTGGCGCGACATGTTTCTCATAAAGCTCCACATATTCGCTTTTTCTCGCGTTTGAGGAGGGGAGTTCAATCCCGTGGTTAACTAGTTCGTTTCTCAACTGTTCCTTGGTCAGGCCCGACATAGCAACCACGTGCGAAATGGCGTGGGGAGACAAAGCTTAATGGTAATAAACACCCCCACGCGTTCCCAGTAGCCAACAAACACTGTCCGAAGTTACTTTTTAGTAGTAAAAGGTTCCCGGCACAACACCAATAGAACCGTAGACATGATTGGTTCTACAGTGTAGGCGGAGGCGGGACCTGCTGCAGGCCGGCCAACAGCGATCCCGCTTTCAACCTGCTTCGGTTGAACATTCTACTAGCCTGCATGCTTCCTGTCGCGACCGCTTCATTCAACCTTCTGTGCACCTGTGGCTCACCCTGTGGCGACATTTAAAAGGTCTTTTCGCCTGGGTTCCCGCCTGAGACGCCACAGAGGTTGTGAAATGGGCGTGAAGGGCGCCCACGGGATTTATGGTGTGGACTGTAATCTCGGGACACGAGGCTGTTAACGTGGGATTCGGATGAAGGTTTTACACGGTAACATTACATAACAACTTGTAACAATAAAACACCTCCTCTTTTAGGCCTATTTTGACACTCGGGAGCACCGAAACCATACAACACTCTCTTGAATCCTACACTAGCTTAAAATATAACCATACATATATTTTAGATATATAGTACGTTCGAAAATAAAGGACTTTAATCAAACCGCGTAGTCGTACTTGGCACCTATTTTGATACGGTGAGACCCACACGAGGAGGGACGCGGCACACAAGAATTTATTGTTTGTTAAAGATTTTCAAAATGTAGCCATTAGTCTTTGAGTAACAGTTGCGTGTTTGTGTAATAGGATTTGCTATAATGATGGTGGTAACAACCAAGTTTTTTTAGCGCATTTTTTTCGAATTACTATTATGATAGTTTCATTATATAATTCACATTAGTTTTAACAGCTTAAGTAATTGTAATACAAATGTGAGCTGAGGATATTATTGCTTTGAGCACTGTGTTTATTTGACTCGATATTGTAACCGTAAAAAAATCTTCATATCATTTACCTCATGGATGCTGGTTAGCAACTAGTAAAATTCATCGTATATATTCATATGTATTTCCCATGTATATTTAATTTGTGTATTTTTTAATCTGTAGTTGTATTAACGAATTCACTTATTTATCTCATTTGCCCAGTTTGGCTTTACATTTTTTAAAAATCTAGTAAAACAGCCTATGATTGTTCGAAATTATCCTCATAGTGTCTATCTACCTATTTCCAAGGTATGAGCACTGCACATTAATGCTCATGATTTTGCATGAACTTGCACTAAAAAGAGCTGAGATCACACGATGAGTAAGGGTAAATGACACGCAAGGACTTATTTTTAGCTCATGTATAACCATGATAAGGAAAGACTTCGAAATGTACTTTGAATTTGGAGAATGTCTTTCGTGTTCTCATTATTCTGTTCTGCTTATACTTCGCTCGTATTTGTTCTTAATTTGTACACCATTTGTTATCCTTGTTCTTTGGTGGTAGATTGTTTCTCTTTTGTTATTTAGTTTTCTATCTTTACTCTGTTCATTTTTTTCTTGTGTGCTTTCCTTATTCTGTTTTTCACACATTGTTCCTCTTTTGTTATTTAGTTTTCTATCTTTATTCTGTTTATTACTTTGTTCATTCTTTTTTCACACACGTGTCGTCTAATCTTCTGTGTTCATTTCTTAATTTCGTTTATATTACACAAATTTTTCAATCTTTATTACCCTTTTCGATATTCGTGGGTATCTTGTTGTTAGTCATGTATCACAGTAAATATCAGGATGCTATATGGAAATTCACTGATTGAATTTCGTAATGTATTTCCTTATATACATGCCTTTGACTGAAATTTTGTCATCACGGTAAATAACGAAATGTATACTAAAAATCACGTGTTTGAATTTAGAGATTATTGGATTGTGCAGTCTTAATTTCTTGTGGATTTGAGAGCTAGTTAGGCTTAATGTGGGTATTATGAGACAGTATTTCATTAAGTGTTCATTATAGCGTGTGTATATATATATATATATATATATATATATATATATATATATATATATATATATATATACATATATATATACATATGTATATATACATATATATATATATATATATATATATATATATATATATATATATATACATATATATATGTATATATATATATATATATATATATATATATATACATATATATATAATGTATATATATAAGTATAAATATGTGTGTGTGTGTGTGTGTGTGTGAGTGTGTATGTGTAGTGTGTGTAGTGTTGCTGTGGTTATTGATTTAATTGAATTATCTTTGCACTTCATTAGTTATTCTTTACACGTAAAAGGGGATACATTTGAATAGTGTTACTATTTTACTTTAATTACTCAAGCATATGATAATCACTGATAATAATCTCACTCTTGGATTCTATAGTTATTTTATCTACGATTTTAGATATATGATATAGATTTATACAAGGTAATATATCTCGTTTAGGGGGGCCTTTTGATGTCTAATTACCCTACAGTTCTAGTTTCTGAATATATCATGTTTGTGAATGTAATATGTACATCAATGAGGGACAATTTAATGCATTTTCATACACGCATTTCTGTACAGTGAATAAGATCCTATATATCACATATATCGTAAAAAAAAATATTTCTAAATCAATTAAAATGACCCCAGGAAAATGGAGTTCATATTTCCAGATGAAAACAACCGAAGTATCAAGGATTAAATGACCTTCGAAAAGTACGCAAGTTCTTATACACTACATTTTCGCATGAAGCAGTGTTTTGGGTGGGCCCTTTTTATGTATAACAACCTTATGCTATTCCTGGATATATTATTTCAGTGCATGTAACCAATAAACCTAATAGGCACAGTTTTTAAGCATTTTCATTCACATATTTTACATATAAGTAAATAAGGTTTCAGGTGAAAAGTCGGCCTTATATAAATTTGACGAGAGGATCTGTAAAAAGAAAAGTTTTGGTGTGTAACTTATTTAAACTATCTAGAAACACAAAACAACTACAGAAAATGGGGATATTACTTCCTGACGAAAGTACACGTTCCAAAATAGCATACACCAGGGGTCCTGCATTTTTTTTTTTTTTTTTTTTTATCAAGCCAGGATCCCTTTACTGATAGAAAATAAAACGAAGAAGCCCTCAATTAAGTTCCCTGATCAACGTGTTTTTCATTGTTCGATGCACATGTATATAGTACGTAGGTTATGAAAATAAACAAACGCTAGCCAAAAGATATTTATGAGATACAACAGGACAGCTATGCACTATTTCACAATATCAGCACTCGTGGAAAGCTGTAAATCAAAACATACCATAGATTGATAAAAAAACTCTGACTTCATCTCCGAGTGGCAGTTCTGATATGAAAACACAAACCAAGTTTACACTAGAACTAGGGGTGCGTAGGCGTGCAGACAGCAAAGCACTGTGCATGATAGATGTACATCTACGGACACCTTCCCAGATATATTAATGCATTTATTTCATCACATTATTGATTTTATTATACTTAGAAGAAACATAGATGCAAAACGTGTACAAACTTATAATTTCCTAGGTAGGTATCATCAGTATAAAAGAAAAGTTTCGTGAACCCCTCACATAGTACCCCGGATCCTATAGGTTACGCGGTCCACACTTTGAGAATCACTGGCATACACTACTTTATTCCCCATATAAAACCGTGATTGTGCGTTTTGTGTGAGTGTGTGTGTGTGTGTACCAATTTCTCAAACAGAAAGATGCATCTGTTTTGGTGCTATTTAGGAGAGGTCAAAGAATTCCGCGGCGCACTTGTAACCGCAGCAGAGACCACGAATGATTCACACAGTAACAGAAACAGAATGACGTCATACACATCGGACCAAGCGAGTGGGACCAGCATAAGAAACCTGCGTTCTCTTTAGCCAAGAAGAGACCATTTTCTATGCCGTTTGTCGCTTCACACCGCTGACTGAATCATGTTCATTAGAGCTGGCAGTGAAACAGGTTTAATTACTTAAGATATTCTGCCTTATGTTACATGCTTACTAAAAATTATCACTTGTAAATAGTAAAATCTTATCCCCACCAAAACAATCTTATCATAAAACAATTTTAAACTTCGCGGATCTGATATGAAAACTTCGCGGATCTTATATGAAGTCCAGGGATGCAAAGAAGCATTAGACGACCAACAAATATCCAAAGACAATGCGACGTATTTCTACCGTAATCATAAAGGGAGAGGAAGAAAAAAAGAAGAAAAACCAGCGAATTGAACTAAGAACGCATAAGATATGAGTTCCCGCGGAGGCTGCCTGAGTGTACTGTGCAGTTTTCATCAGAGTAAAACATACGACTTGGAAGTGACAAGAATACGATCCATGCAGTGGCGACTGACGGATATGCCATTTATCTGTTTGGCAGAAAAGGATTTTTTTTAAGAAAAACTCATTGAAATCCAAAGGAAATATCAGTGCAAGATAAATTGCTGTTAATAAAAGAAAATGCATATAAGTTTTTTTAAGTTTTCAGTAAATTGGTAGAATGAAAAAAAAAAAACATTTTAGGCGTTAAAAAAGGAAACAAGGATGGAAAAATGGATGTACCACACACACGCACATGCACATATATACACATTGAATTACACTCACGCACACAGATGTATATCTATCTATCTATACACACACACCACACACACGCACATGCACATATATACACATTGAATTACACTCACGCACACAGATGTATATCTATCTATCTATACACACACACGCGCGCACACACACACACACACACACACACACACACACACACACACACACACACACACACACACGCGCATGCACGCACACACAAATACACACACACACATATTTATATATAACGAGAGAGATAGATATACATATACATACACATACACATGTACACATCTATATACATACACACACACACACACACGCATATGTATATATATATATATATATATATATATATATATATATATATACATAAACACACATGCACACTTATATATATATATATATATATATATATATATATATATATATATATATATGCATATTTATATTTACAGACATATATATATGTACACACACACACACACACACAAACACACACACACA